CGGCGCGGCCCGGTGCTGCTGGGGGCCGGGCGGGAGGGGGCGGAAGTCGCAGGAGGGCGCATTCGGCAGCAAGCGGACTGAGGCGTCTGAGCCGGCAGCTGGAGGCAGCAAAGCCGCGGGGTCAGACAAAATAGCCACAGTCCACTTCTGGGCGGCCGAGAACTGTTGGGGAGAGTCCTCGACCGCGCTGCCGAAGAGGCCAGCCTGGGATATGGGGAAGGTGAGGAAACGAAATCACTCAGCCTCACGCACATCAACCAGGTTAGCCAGAGGTGTCTGACCACCTATGTGGACATCACCTGACTCAGGGAGCGTGCGGTCACCTACGTCGCTCGGAGAGCAAGGTCGGTGACGGCAGGCAGCTCAAGGATGAGCCCTGAATCAGCCCTACCCTCGTGCATGTCATTGAACACCCAGGAGGATGGCAATAACACGCAGTGAGGTGGCAGCCTGCCCCGCAGCTCTATAGGTCCCCGCCACCGGAGTAGACAAGAACCTACAGGCATTGGAGGGGTGCTTAAGAGTCGCCACGCCAGGTGGAGGCACTGTGGGGACACATAAGTGTTGCCACAGAACACTCCACAGGGGGAACCCAAGTGCACCCTAGGCCGCGGCCTCTACAAGGGCAGAGAAGGCGGAAGAGGCCACTGAGCAGTCGCGAGAAAGTCAAGGAGACTTCCACGATCTCATGATCTCTTCATGCACGTCCGGGTAGAATGGATTTGGGTTCGCCACCCCCAAAACCCATCAACCGCCTTAAGTGCTCGGGACATGGCAGAAGGTTCCACACAAGCCCGATACTCGCGGCAGCCCGGGAAGCATAGCTGTGCACTCTGGATCAAACTCGTTATGCTAGCACATCCGAGGACGCCAGCACAGACGAGCCATCATCTCTAGAGGACTCCAGCTCACCTTGTGATGCGGTGATACATGATTTCATCAGCCGGGGGACCGAATGAGACCGCGTGCCCGCGGGCGGGCCGGCGAACTCACCTGGGACCACGCAGGTTGCAATGTGAAAGACGGGGTGTGGACCGAGGAATTTTTCGTCGGTTTAGTTCCAAACCTGCCGTCTTAGGTCACCCTGGCCACCAGCCGAAGTATTATCTCACGTGGAGAAAAATAGATCGGGGTGTGGATGAGGGGACTCTCACTCATTGAGCTCATCGAGTCTCGACCGTTACATTGCGATGGTCACGTTCCCAGTGAGAGAACGTGACACACCCACGAGCGTTGTCTGAGCGCGATCAAAGCCCAAACACTCAAAACAGCGCTCGCGCCCATCAGCTGAATCTATCAGAATACCACACTCAGAAAAACACGGGCAGATCGTCTTTAGAAAGACGCGTCTTTAAAAAGACGTGCCGCGTGCAGCTCTTTAGTGAGAGGAAAAACTCCGCGGATGTTGAAGCGACCAGGGAGAACACACAGACTGGCAGACCACTGCTCAGCTCGCAGGCAATGTGAAACTCGCTGGATACCGCCGTCACACCAACACCAGAGAGTTCGCTCGTCTCGAAGAGATGTAGTCACTGAGAAAACTCAGGATTTGGATTGTGGAGTGAAGAGATGCTCTTGGCTCCGAAGCGAAAACATGATCTGCTCTTGCAGGTGTCTCTCCTTAAATACCCACGCGGTGGGGCGGAGATACATTATGCAAATTCCGCAGACCCATGACATTTCATTGCCATAGGCTCGTTTTTTAATACTCGAAGATGATAGGCTTTCTGGCGAAACCCCCATTCTCCGTCATCCGACGTAACTCGGAGTGACTACGAAAGGGAACTGTATTTAACTTGGCATAGTTGAATAATAAGAGTTCTGTACATGGAACTGACATACTGTGAGGGCCAGATGTACTAATGCTTTTGCGCCCACTTCAGGCTTATTTGTTTCGCAAAGTGCGCATAAAACCATGGCGAGGTATGTACGAAAGGAACGCACCGAGATGAAAGCGCAGACTCCCTGTCGCAGGAACTGAAAATGGCAAAATGCGCTTTTCGTGTCATGCATATGCTGTCATAAATACTAGGCGGAAGCAAAGATGCAAGTAACTCTTTTATTGAGTGGTCAGAAGACACAAAAATTGTTCAGGAACATGGGTGGGCTGGTGGCGCAGGGACTAGATGGTCAGCGTGCTGGTGAAGAGTGATGATCGTGAATCCAGTGCAGGTGAACATCCAGACGAGACGAAACCACGAAGACACCGAACAGGAATTTGAACCAGAACAGGACTGCAGACAGGCACACAATGAACAAACACAGAGGACACCAAACCAACGATCTGACAAAGAGAGGAGAGTGTGATGAGTTTATATAGGTGAGTGGATTGGCAGAAGCTGGTGCAGGGAATGAGATCAGCTGGCACGCTGATCAACGGAACGAGCGGTCACGCCCACTCACACACGCTCACACACACAGAACAACAATTACACGAGACATGAAGAAAACAGCGAATTCATGAACCGTGACATATGCGAGAAAAGAGAATAGTGCCTGTGGTCGTTCATGATAAGCTTTGTCTTCTTGAGGCTGCGTGTAATGTCGATGTCCCCAACTGCTAGTAGTTGTTTGCAGATTATTTTCGGAGTGGTTTTTACAACCCTTTGTAGGGCTTTCCATTCAAATGTGGAGCAGCTACCATACCAGAATGTAATACACCCTATAACGACAAGACTCCACTTCGCTCCTTTAAAAAGTGGCGAGGACTGTAGTGGACATCCTGGCTTTCTTCAGACACCAAAGGAAATAAAGGCGTTGCTGAGCCTTTTTTACATTTACATTTAGTCATTTAGCAGACGCTTTTATCCAAAGCGACTTACAACTAAGGACTAAACCAAGCGAGTCATCGTGAAGAGGCAAAAACAACGCAAAAAGTGCTCAAAATACAAATACTTTTTTATAATAGATGATGTGTGCTCAGTCCAAGGGAGTTTAGAAGTGAGAAATACCCCTAAAAATCTAAAGCTGTTGACTCTCTCTACATTGTCCATTCCGATATAAATGGGTCCATGTACCTTATCCTGATTCCTGAAGAAGATCACCATCTCCTTAGTTTTACTGACATTAAGAGAAAGGTTGTTGTTCTGACACCATTGCCCCAAGAGCCTCTCCTCCTCTCTATATGCTGCCTCATTATCGTTGGTGATCAGACCCACAATGGTGGTATCGCCAGGAAACTTAATAATGGTATGAGTTGAGAACGGCCACACAATCATGTGTGAACAAGGAATACAGTACCGGGCTCAAAACGCTTCCCTGTGGAGTGCCAGTGCTGAGGATCAGTGCGGAAGAAGTTTTACTGCCACGCACTGGGGTCTGTTGGTGAGAAAATCCAAGATCCAATTGCACAAGGTGGCACTTAGTCCCAGATCTAGCAGCTTGTAGATCAGCTTGGTTGCAATGACCGTATTAAACGCAGAGCTATAATTCACGAATAATAGCCTCACAGAATAATAGAATAATAGATTCTACACATCTAAATTCTCCAGCGGCAGCCATTCTTTGTTGTAAACAAATTCAATCCAAGCGCTCTTTGGTGACGTGGATGATTCCATTACGGTTGATCATCTGTCCATCATCGTATAAAGCCCTCGTATGACAATCTGATTGGTCCGAACAGCTTTGGTTCGGGCATACTTGCTTCTCAACGGATCAACTCCAGACCAAACTTCCCATCCTCAAATGTTGTGGGCGGGGCTATGTTCGGCTGGCATCCAGGCTAGGATGTTGGTACAGTTCAGCTCTTTAAAGAAATGTTAAAAATATCCGTAAACACAGCAGCCAGTTGCCCACTACACATTTTTAAAACATGTCCTGAAATTTCATCTGGATCAGCAGGTTTGCGAGTGTTGACACAGTTAAAAGTTTGTCTCACATCTGCCTCAGAGGCTTTCACATGTACGAATGTGTAAGTTAGGTCACAGAAATGCATGCCGGACATTGAATACCTTCTGATAAAATGCCGACCATACTATCTGCCAAGGGAGTTCTCTTCTGTGATTATGGCAGTGTATATTCCACCTCAAAGGAACGCACACAGTGCTCTAAACAAACTGTACCATGTTATCACCGAATATGGGAACAGGCACCCCAACGGTTTGTTTATCACCACCGGGAATTTTAATCAAGGCAATTTTTACCTAAAATATCATCAGCAAGTCTTGTGTCCCACTATAGGCTGAAACACTCTTGACCACTGTTACACTTCACACAAAGAAGCCTATCGTTCCCTACCGCATTCCCTATTCTGTTACTCCCAATTTACAAACAGAAACTAAAGCGAGAGTAGCCTGTGCTGCGTACGGTACAGTGCTGGACCTCAGAGGCTGAGGAAAAGCTTCAGGACTGCTTTTATTCTGTGAACTGGGACACAGCATTGCATGACTCCAGTTTTACCGCATACTCCTCCTCTTTTTTTCCCAGATGAGCTTGTTCGATCTGCGCGGTAGATTATTCCTCTGGGGTCGGCAATTTTTTTCACATAGCAGCAAAATACTCAAAATACTTATAAATACTCCGTCATTTATGGTCATACATACTTAAGAACCCCTCGGTTTGGTCTGCGTTGTCCGGTGTGATTGCAGCGAGCCACGTCTCCGTAAAGCAGAGAACACAACAATTTTTTCAAAAATGAGGTTATGACACAACAATTTTTTTTAAATGTGGTTATAACAAACCCAACATGGTATTTTGCTGTTGCTGTCATTAAATTTCTTAATAGGTAATTTCAATATACACTAAATATTTGGATTCATGATCGCAATATATCTAATAACGTTTAGTTATTGCAGTTATATGCAGTGTCATTATGTTACCATGTTAACTATTTCATCTGTGTCTAGAAACAGCCCTCAATGTGACACCACTGATGCGCTTGATCTTTTACATTTATGTTATTAGCAGATGCTTTATCATCCAATTGATTTACTAGAAAGTTTACATATAGTGTAAATGGCAAACGCTAGAATTTGTTGAGCTTTGATTTCTGTTTTCTGTAGAGTTTCCAGTCTCTCTCAGCTCCTCCTGAGTCTACAGACGTAAATGACAAACCCTTCAGTCCTCTCTCCTCTTTTGATGGCATTAGACAATCTGTCCGTCAGCTGAGAGACAAACTGGAGTATTTCTGCAAAGTGGAGCTGAATAAGATCTCTAACAGAGGTAAAGTCCTGGAGATTCTGCTCTCAGAAATGATCTTCCATCATCTCATATCATGTAGAAGATCATATTAGAAATGTCTTAGGAACAGATGCAGGGATCATTTTCTCTTGACATGATAATCACACTTTTCATGTCTGTTGATTTCCACAGTCACTTTCACCAACATTGTTCCCAAGACCAGGAACGACTTCCTACAATGTAAGTCACTAAGAAAATATGCAGAAAAACTCACTGAGTGTGTTCATGTTCTTCCCGTAGAAGGTGAAACTATGTCAAACATAACTGAACATTAAACACTAACAGGCATTTCCCTCAAAAACACATAAAATAGCACTTAATTTCAACATTTACTCTCCTGATCAAGACATATGCAAAGGATACTGAGAACTAAAAATCCACTGCCCAGTTTAACTTAATTTAACACTAGTTATTCAGATAGTTCAAATGGATTAAGTAAATTTCAGTTTTACATATTTAAGTGGATTTTACACAATAAAATTAGATAAATACAAAATGTTCAGTTATTGTGTGGTTTTAACTCATTTTAATTGTTAAACAAGCACAACAAATTATTTTTACAGTGTACATTAAAAGATCAGATTCATAAATCCTGATTCTGATGTGTTTTATCTCCATCAGATTCCCATCAGCTCAATCTGAATCGGAACACAGCACATAACCACCTTCATCTGTCTGGGAAGAACAAAGTGATTACTAACACTAACACAGAGCAGTCGTATCCTGATCATCCAGACAGATTTAATGTGTATCCTCAGGTGTTGTGTAGAGAGAGTGTGTGGGGACGCTGTTACTGGGAGATTGAGTGGAGTGGGAATAATGTGTTTATATCAGTGTCATATAAGAGCATCAGCAGGAAGGGACAGTATAATAATTGTCGGTTTGGATCTAATGATCAGTCCTGGAGTTTGTCCTGCTTCTCCTCCAGTTACTCATTCTGGCACAATAACATAGAGACTAAACTCCCTGTAAAGCCCATCAGCAGGAGAACAGGAGAGAGTGTGAGTTACAGGAGAATAGGAGTGTATGTGGATCACAGTGCAGGAACTCTGTCCTTCTACAGCATCTCTGACACAACGAGCCTCATACACACAGTCCAGACCACATTCACTGAGATGCTCTATCCTGGGTTTAGAGTTTATTCTGGATCATCAGTGAAACTATGTTGATTGATCAGAACAAATTCTAGAGAGAGTCTACCCATAATGCTTTAAGTTTCATGATAAATCAAATACTGTCACACACTGGCTTGACTAGATAATCCGAGATAAGAAGATTGATGCAGAAAGACGATGAACACATATTTAATAACCGTTATAAACAGGGATAAAAACCAGCAGGAAACGTTAAAAATAGACAATGATCATAAAACGACTGAGGGGTTTAAATACACAAGATAACAAGAGACTAAATGAAGGACAGGTGATGATGAGAAGTTATCATGGTTACAAACAAGGGTGCTATGTAAATGGAAACACAGGAACCAGGAACTAAACCACAGGAACTGAAAGATGATATCAAAAGACAAAGATGCTAAAGTTAGAAGCAACAATGAAAGAAATACAGGAACAGAAAGTTAAAGGGTTAGTTCACCCAAAAATGAAAACTCTGTCAGTAATTACTCACCCTCATGTTGTTCCAACCCCGTAAGACCTTCGTTCATCTTCGGAACACGAATTAAGATATTTTTGATGAAATCTGAGAGCTGGATCACTCCTCCATAGGCTTCTTCAGGGATTGAACTTGCCGGCCTCGAAAAGTTATTAAAGACATCGTTAAAATAGTCCAAGTGACTACAGTGGCTCAATCTTAAGTTTATCAAGCGACGAGAATACTTTTTGTGCGCAAAAACAAACAAAAATAACGACTTTGTTTCAACTATTCATGTCCATCTCCTTGGGCCTCGAGTCAGTTCACTAGTGTAACAGCGTAAGCTTCTGTTGTTGTACGTCACACGCATCACGCACATGACCAGCGTCGGCCAATAGTGAGCCTACGTGTGACGTAGCTCTACGGAATCACACTACATTAACTGACTAGAGGCCCAAAGAGAAGGACATGAATAGTTGAAATAAAGTCGTTATTTTTGTTTGTTTTTGCGCACAAAAAGTATTCTCGTCGCTTGATAAACTTAAGATTGAGCCACTGTAGTCACTTGGACTATTTTAACGATGTCTTTAATAACTTTTCGAGGCCGGCAAGTTCAATCCCTGAAGAAGCCTATGGACTAGTATGGAGGAGTGATCCAGCTCTCAGATTTCATCAAAAATATCTTAATTCGTGTTCCGAAGATGAACGAAGGTCTTACGGGGTTGGAACAACATGAGGGTGAGTAAATACTGACAGAATTTTCATTTTTGGGTGAACTAACCCTTTAAATTCGAAAGAATTAAGAAACATATTCAAGACAATGAATCAATCACAGTTTGTTGATCAATTAATGTGTAAATTAAGGATCTAATGATTCTCAATAGAAACCTGTGTGTGTGCGTGTGTGTGTGTGTGTGTGTGTGTGTTAATTCAACCATACATTTGTGTTGTGCTTTATTTTCTTTGATTTAATTCAAGTTTTCAAAATCATTTATTTTTTATGCTTTCTTTTTATATGCAGAATGTTTTATTGTACAGCACTTTGTACAGTACTCTGTCGCTTTTAAATGTGCAATAGAAATAAATTTGGACTTTACTTGACTTTGTCTTCATGACTAAGAGATCAGAGGAATATTACAGTTTCAGGGTTTTACGGGATGTTGTTGAGAAGCAGTCTAGATTAAACACACTTGTTGTATTTGTGCTGGTTATACTGTATAGTGATGGGGAGTTGACTACAGCTATAAAAGGACGCCGGACAGTGTCAGCTTCTGGTCTTCAGCAAGCGTTCTATGTATCCTGTGTGTCTTATTTGGTGGTGTTTGTCACATTTTTACCTTGCTCGCGCTATATGAGTGAGGGTGACACACAATCGCTCGGTGTGATGTGTTTGGGAGTGGAGCATGCACAGGCAGCACTTGAGGGTGCTCTGTGTAAACTGTGATTTTTTTTTTGCCTCTCAGGACGCTCCACTCCCGCCTGGCCTTGTTCGATAAAGCAGGCCGTGGTTCGGGAATCATGGGGATCGGAAATGGAGCTGGCTGAGGATGTTTAGACCTCTTTGGCCCTTTCTCGGCATTCAGCGGCCAGCTCCACCCCTATATAAATCCGTTCAGGATTCCCTTTTTCACTGATCTCCACACTGAGGTGTAGAGATTTTGGAATAAGCCGTTCTTGTCAAGACTTTCGAGCCAGAATGTACATGTATATTACTCCCTCTTGGGCTCAAATGAGAACAGCAATGGGGTGATGCTGCGGGTTAAAGAGACACTGACATCGTATCTCTCATCCGATGCTGCGTCATCCCTTAATCCTCTGGGGTCTAAGGTGTTTTTGGGGCCCTTGAGATGTTTTGACATGCCCTAACATTTGTGCTTATTTCAGTTACTTACAACATACCATTGGCCAACATATAATTATGCTGTATTCAGCACAAACTCTGCTACAATAATATGTGAGCAAAATGGATGTAAATGTTTGCATTTTATAGGAGAAAAAAAATATGCGTGGTTAGTACGTTTTGGGGGAAAAAAATGTCACCGCAATAAGGCCATTTAACACATACTGAATAGTTGTCCACAATACTTTTGAGTTACTATTCTTGTAGGCTAGAATGTTTACTACAAAATGATGTGAAAATCATTCTGACCACTCTTTCACAAATAACAATATAACAATTTAAAATTTGTAAGTCAGTTTTTGCAGTGGTGTAGTGCAGGGTATACGCAGGTATACGGCGTATACCCACTTCTTTTTCAGTCGGCATTGCGTATACCCACTTCTAAATCCCCTCTGATGCGCATCATTTAGTTGCTAATCCAATCTCGTGAATAAAAAACACCCAGTCAAGATCGTACCCCTAATATTAACTCTAATTTGGTGCAGCAATGATTCTTCCATCGCGACGATAACTGACCTTCTCATCTGATCTGCTTCAGCACTCAAACACCCGCTCGTCAATGTCAAAATGTTTGAGACCAATCAAAGCATGCAGGATTTTTGTTCACAGAAGCGCGAGCCAAGCGCTAATCCCAACGCGACGCTTCACTTCAGTTAACGATCATATAGTGCGAAATAAGATGCAAGTAGCTAAAATATATGGCTGTTTTTCGATAGAATTTTTAAATGACCGACAGAAATAATCAGTTTGCTCAAAGAGAGTGGAAATTATTGTCATGATTCTGCCCTCGTGTCCTTGATTTTGTCTTGTCTTGAGGCAGGATCATGACAGAATCATGTTTTGTATGCAAGCACATGGTCTTGTGTTTTGAGCCATGTGCTTGTGTTGTCTTGTTACGTTACCCCGCCCCCTTGTTATCCTCGTCTCGTCATTATTGTCTAGTCAGTTTCACCTGTCTTTGTCTAGTCAGCTACACCTGTCTTTGTCATTAGTGTCTCCCTATGTAATCCCCTTGTGTTTGCTGTCCTGTGTCGGTACATTGTCTAACTTTGCATGTTAATCCCTGTGAGTATATTGTCTGAAGACCTGTTTAATCAGTATAGTGAGTTCGTTTCCTGTCAAGTCAGAGTCTTTGTTTATCATCGTGTCTTAGTCTTGTTATACTCTGCTCCAGTCCTGTTTTACCCCCTCGTGGGTTTTGTTTTCTGTTTTTGTCCAAAATAAATCATTTGAGTGTCATCTGCTGTCTGCGCCTGGGTTCTCCTTCCATCCACATGACAGAATGTACCGACCTACAAGGAACCCAGCAGACAGTATGTCCTCACAGCTCAAGCGACAGTCGGAGATCCGAGAACAGTGCTGGTTGTCGGCTCCCACCAACAGTAAGAGGGGCGAGCTTCCTTTCCCTTCCCAGGGTGAGTGGATCCTGAGGAACTACGCCCAACTCTGGGATCATTTCTCCCGAGAGGATCCGCTGGCTTCTTCTTCGGGGTCTCCACCATCTGCCTGTCTGCCAGTGCTCCCGGAGGGGCGTGTTTTAGCCGTTGTCACGCAGGGGAACCAGGAACACTCCACTTTGACTCCCGAGGCGTCATTCGCTCCGGTAGACCTTCGCGGGAAAAGAGGGAGACGGACCTCGTGGGAGTCTCCGTCGGAATCGTCCTTACCGGAGTCTACGCTGCCTGAGTCTGTCCTTCCTTCGCCGGTCACGGTCCCTGCTGCGCTTCCCCAACCGGCCACCGGTTTGGCCATAGCCTCTGCTCCACGGGCAAGGAGAAAGAGGAGGAAGAAGGCAGTCAGCGCAGTCGCCGAGCCCGCTGCAGTCAGCGCAGTCGCCGAGCCCGCTGCAGACAGCTCTTCCGAGTCTGATATGAGCGCATCTTCCGAGTCTGATATGAGCGCATCTTCCGAGTCTGTGGATAAGAGCGCTGAGTCTGGTTCAGCTTCAGTGATCATTGATCCCTTTGTGGTGGCTCCGCAACCAGTCCCGTTGTTGTCCTTCTCCGTTCCTCAGTCGTCTACCTCTCTTCCTGTCATTTGTCCTGTGCCGCCTCCTGCCCTGTCTCAGTCAAGTTTCCCCAGCGCATCTCCTCGTGCCACCCTGTCCCAGTCTGCTTCCCCCAAGGCGTCTCCTCGTGTGCCTCCACCCAAGTCCGCCCGGAATCCTCGTCCCAAGCCTTCTCCCCGTGGACCTAAGACCCCCAGAACACCCATCCACCCTGGACCTTCCCCCATGAACTCTGTTTTTCCCCCGCCACCTCTACCTTGTTTGTTATTTTTATTGTTTTATCCGAATCCTGTTATTGTGTTTTCGTGTTTGCCGTTACTGTTATTTGTCATGTTTTGTTGGTTTGTGTCGATGTCTCAGTCTGTCATGTCCCGTGTTTGATGTCCCCTTGAGGAGCGTCTGGTAGCCGCTCCTTAAGGTGGTGGTTCTGTCATGATTCTGCCCTCGTGTCCTTGATTTTGTCTTGTCTTGAGGCAGGATCATGACAGAATCAGGTTTTGTGTGCAAGCACATGGTTTTGTGTTTTGAGCCATGTGCTTGTGTTGTCTTGTTACGTTACCCCGCCCCCTTGTTATCCTCGTCTCGTCATTATTGTCTAGTCAGTTTCACCTGTCTTTGTCTAGTCAGCTTCACCTGTCTTTGTCATTAGTGTCTCCCTATTTAATCCCCTTGTGTTTGCTGTCCTGTGTCGGTACATTGTCTAACTTTGCGTGTTAATCCCTGTGAGTATATTGTCTGAAGACCTGTTTAATCAGTATAGTGAGTTCGTTTCCTGTCAAGTCAGAGTCTTTGTTTATCATCGTGTCTTAGTCTTGTTATACTCTGCTCCAGTCCTGTTTTACCCCCTCATGGGTTTTGTTTTCT